TCATTGCAGTAATTATGTAGGTCACGAAACATTACCAGCGGCGCGTATAACAATTTACATTTAATTTCAAATAATTTTTTCTAGACACTGCTACCACTTAGGACCGTGAATTTTTGCCAGTGACATAATCATATTGTGACCTATTCCCCATTTTTTTTTTGCATGTATTTCGCAGTCAGCCTGTATTTTCAGTGTAAACGATTTTCACTTCAAGTCAAATATTCTTCAATTGCCGCAATTATACTCTGTAAAATATTTAATTTCCTCTTACATCTCGGCTTAAATCTTTAAAAGATAACTCGAAACACTATGTATTATTTTTGTTTCTATAACACGTTTCCAAACTTGTTCTCAAAGCAGTTATTTGTATAACTAGTTTGAATAATGACGTAAAATGGTGCGTACTTAGAATATATATTTTTCGATTGATTTATACACATTTTTTATACAGCGGTTTTTAACAAATAAAAAAATAACGTCTTCGAATTAACTTACATTAATTCATAAATAGCTGCTGGGTTTTCACGGTGTTTTAGAATGTTGCTTTGGTTGTTTGAGTAAAATATTTCTTAACAAATTGCGTCATTTTACAGTTTTTGACTTGAAACAAAAAAGGTAACAAAAGTTGGTTGGTACTCTGCAATTACTAATTATTTTATATGCGCAAATAAAATATTTTGAACGTTTTTAACAAGAATGTTATAAAAGAGGGTCATCCTTAAGAGCAAATGTCAAAATTAAGCAAGGACTTGTAAGTTTCATTGAAAATAGATAAATCATCTCAACGAGATACAGTTTATATTATAAATTTTAACTTAATCATAAGTTTCTGTATACAATGGTAACAAATGGATACACACATCATTCATAAAATGAATGCTACGATACGTCAGTTATAAGCTTCATTTTAAGGTGATATTATCAGGAGATCTTTTCTTAAGCAGATTTTACACGTTTATGCATAGGTATAATAATTTCAAGACATTTTTTTTCAGACTCAAATTTTTATTTTTATTGTTGTGGATTGAGCTAGTGCTGGTCACAAACGATAGGTTTTACTAAAAATTGTCTGAATAATAATAATTTTTTATATTTATGTTTCGATATGTGTGTACGGTCGATGTTTAAAACAAGTAGAAGCTAAGTGACAAGTTGTTGGATGATGGTTTACCTACTAATCATGGGTTTTTAATCACATAGGGAAATTCACAGGGTTGTCTTTCTTTTGACTAGGTTCTTGCGGGTAACCGATATTGGAAATTACTAAATTAGAATAAAATCCAGGACATTAGATTTTTTTGTTCGTCACTTTCGGAAAAAAAAACCGCACATACATGATATTTCATTCCAATTTATTCATTGCTTATAATGTGCTGTGAATAAAAATCATCCTCTAGTTGGCGCTGATTTTTTTTGTCTTTACTATTCCCCGTTGTGAGTACTATATCGCATCTTATAAAAATGAAAACATGTACAAACAAAATTTTTCTTAAAAATATGCAAATATACGTACTCGTATACTGAAACATTTTGTTTATTTTTCGATCAAATACGAATTACAAATTATAGCAGCTAGAACAGCTAAATATTATAACACCCAATTTTGACACTATTCATTAAAACAAAATTTTCGAATAAAAAAGAAAGTGAAGTTGTCTTATATGCAAATGTTAACCAGTGCCATTTCCCACTAGTAGTAAACATTATTAGAAAATTAAATGCGTGGTCATTTAAAAAATTTTCTCTTTGTGTAAATAAATATACCAAAACAAATTAAAATGAAAATTTTTGTGACACTAAATTTAATACACAATAACACATTAAGATGCACTGAAGCAATCCCGTTCGTCCTTCTTAGATAATATTTGACATTCTTAACATGTGATGCCAACAATATTTAAAATAATGCAAATAAGTATTTTGCGATATTTAAAAAAAATGTCAGTTTATTTGAAAGCATACACGCTTATCTGTAACAAAGATAAAAATAAAACGTTTTAAAACCATTATTATTATTATTATTATTATTATGAATGTGTGTTTTTTTTTATTTAGAGTGAACGTTTAGTCATACGGAGTGTAAGTACGCCACAAGTTTTCATGTAAGAACAGTCTCGAAAAATTGTGGAGAATATCTATGTATAAAAAAATACAATCATGAATATCACTATCATCAGTGAGCGGATTCTTGCAGATATGCGGCAAACCGCCAGTGCAATGATACACCTGAACCTTGCGTCGGAGCAATTAGTCTTCAGGTGGCTAACGGTACGCTATAAAAAAAGGGTTAGCTTTCCATCAAATTCACGCATATTTAGCGGCAGTTCAGTTTTATAAAAGAAAACATAGAGAGAATAATATGCGCTTACGTCCACTCATGACAACTGAACCGTCAATCTTCGGGAATATTTATTGTGCTACCAATGTAAATCTATTTGCATATGTGACCAGTTATAGAATTTCTTTTCAAAATCTGTGTAAACTATTGAAAACTAGTTCAAACTAACAAAGTCTGTAGGTGTAATGATACAGGTTGTCCCGGTTACAATTTTTAACGAGATTTTTTTGTAACAGTTAACCTTTTTGGGAAAAAAAAACAAAAAAAAAACGATTTTTATAACAGAACAAGTGACACTCTTACTCTTAAGACATGTTTAACATAAACATATTTAGACAAAATTTCACAATACTCACAGGTACTTTCCGAAGGTAATGTTAAATCTTAATAATATCTATTTCAATGTTGCTTTTAGTTATCTCACACGTGGGTGCAGTATTCAACAGTTTAGTTAAAAATTAGCTGTGTTGTCACCGTTTTTGCGAATTTCTTGAAACGTTTGAACGTGTTCATGAAAGTGGGTTAGCTTAGTGTGATCAAAATGGCTTGGAACGGTCCGATGCAATACCAATGCATTACAGTTTTTCCGTTTATTGTGATCAATATTTCGCTTATTGTGATCAATCTCGCAATTTTTATACAAGCGGGAATTGCTTTTTTGGAAAAGCGAGACGACCGAAACTAGTATTGTGTTTTAATGAACATTCATTGCTCGCAAAAGCTGCATTCGCTTATACTATTACTTTATACAACCACAATCAGTGACAGACTTTAGTAATCAGTGCGTTTTCGTCTTTTGAATGAACGAATTTTTGCTGTATTACATTTGAGTAGTACTTAAGTAAAAATGATCACGTCGAAACGACGAGATTTCAGCTTATCAGAAAAAAAAAATCTCATCCCTTTTTTACAAACTTCTAAAACAACCAAAGGAAATCGGGGGTTCCTTTCTCAGAATGATGACCTAAGTTTAAAATAAATTCTAATGTTTATGTACCTTCATCTACCAGCATAATAAACACTGTCTTGTTCATGATTTTGCTTTGTTTCAAGTTTTACTGTCTTTGATGGTGGTTTTCGCTTATTATTATCAGTCGGTTAGTGTGATCAATTTGTCTGAGTCCCGAAGTGATCACATTAAGCGGCGTCCACTGTATATAATATAACGAACAATTCAGTATGCTTTCTAACCCTAAAACCTTGAATTTTCTTTCTTGCTTGTGTATTTTAAATGCCGGCCATTTTTAGTTAGCTAATTTATTAAGTACTAATAAGAAACAGAAAATCTTTTTCAGCTCATAATCAGTAATATTGCAAATGCCTCCTTGTAATAATTTCGCTTACAATAAAAAGGATTCAATTTAAGTGACTACATTTTTTCTTTATAATTTGAACTTTTTGTGAATTTAGTTGCTTTTTAAGGTTTGTTTAATGATGATTATTGTTATGTTTTATTACCCATTATTATCAGTTTTGTTAATATCTTTTTTTGGATTTTATGAATGCAATGATGTCATCAACTTTCTACAAGGGACGAATAAACTCTAGTGTAAGTTTTATAATCGCTGTCATAATGTTAATGAATCATAGAAATTTCATAAAAGTCCGTTATGCATTTTTTGAGATAAATATGAAATTTACATAAATTTAAATAAACATTAATTTTTTAGGTTAACCCGTATATGTAAATTTAAAGATGGACGTGTGGTACCTATTAAAACAATCGGTAGGTGATTTTAAGTTAGATACAAAATCAAAATTTAAACGTCAAGAATATAATATTATAGTACTTTTCTAATTTAAGCTATTATAGTTCAAAAAGCAAAAACGATGATATTTTGTTTTCACTACAAAAGCTTTTAAGTGAAGTGCCATTTCTACAGAAAGTTTTTTGTTTTTTATTTAGGTTGGATCAGTAAAAACACCCGTTTTCACTGAGACATTCTGTATTTATAAGTTGCTATGGAAGTGTCTCGACTTATTAGTCTACTTTCATAGATTACTTCCTTTTTCCGTACACTCTAGGTTCAATTAACCGTCCTGAAAATCTTGAAACAGATTGTTGTTATCGCATGCAGCAGCGTTATAGATTATGTTACGAAAATGTCAAGGTAAAACCGTCTAAAGCAAAAATTAATGACATTTCGTCTTTATCTAATTAAGTGGTTCATTCATCAGTTTTGCTAATTACAAAATAGGTATAAAATATTACCTAAGCAACTTATCACGTGAGTTGTAGTAGTATAAGTTACCAATGAATTGACATAGAAGGTAAAAGTTATCTACCTAATATGAATCGATTTTTTTTCTAGCATTTGTAATTTTTTTTTTTTTGTTGAAAAAATGCTGGGGAAATTTTTGTATTTATAATGAGCTTTCCCATTAGTTAGTGTACGACAATTATCTCTAAAAGCTTTGATAACCTTCAAACATGTTTTATTTTTAAGTGTTTACGGTGCCGAGCATCAATAATTATTTTTTATAAATATTCGATTAATTAAAAGTGAACATAGCTGACATATCTATTTTACATATAATAAGATTTCATTACCATTAAAAATATGCTTTTATGTTTAAGATTCATTACTGTCCAACCCGAACAATAGCTGTTGTATTTTGCCCCACTAAGAACACACCTGTATGTTCACCTACAACGACAGTGATTGTAAACTCACCATAGAAGCAGTCAGTTAGTACCCGCTAGTCGCGAGTGTCGTTCTGTCGAGTACCCTTTTACCATACCATAATATTTACAAATGTTCATCGCAACTTATAGGGTACCAAAAAAGTGTGAGTGGGTGTATGTGGGTGGCGCTGTGTGAAATTGGGCTTTAAGCCCTTTGTGATAAAATGACTGTTACATATACAGGGCACGTTCCTAACGGAAGTACTTTCGGCTGTTTTTGGAAAGTACTAGGAATGTAAGTTATTTAATCGATATTCTTTTTTACTTGATGAATGTTACTGGTGGGTTTTTTGAAATTTGCGGAGGGAAATTCCTTGTGCATTCGGTACGTCTCTTACGTAAACGTAGGTAGTACTGTTGCTAAGACTTTTAATTTAATTAATCATTAATTCATATTTCCGTATTTGTTGAGGTTTTTTTCTGAATTGTTTTAATTATTTATTGTTGAGCTACGGAAAATCCGATGAAAGTTGCACATTTATGTGCTTGTATTTCTATTAACTCATTATGAATGCTTATAAGACTATGTAATAGTAATATTGTCGAGAGAATGCATTGTGTTGCACATTTTGTAATGTGCATTATTACAGTTTGAAGAGTGAATACTAAACAAGTTCCTTGATTAAGTATTGGAAGACCATTTATTCAAAAATGGCTACAAAAAAAATTCTTCAAACATTAGAAAGCACATTACACTAATCCGATGGCAATTTATAATCTTATTATTAGTTCAGTGACCTTTCATTTTCACAGTTGGTACGTACATTTCAGAATTTCAAAATTTTTGAAAAATCGTCACATAACAATTAATTTTATTTTTTATGAATATGATCAATCGATGAGTGTCGGTGAAAAGACACGTAGCCGCGACCAGCATTGTTTATGTTTTAATAACATAGTGTTGGTACGTGGGTTTTTTACTGATAATAACTTATAAACTTACTCGTAAAACAGTTTTCTAATCTTCTTGTTGTACGATTACAGCAACACTACGAAGTACCTGTTTAAATATTCTGGAACAATTTTTACACGCTTTTTCATGTATATTGAAAAATAATACATGTCGCAAAATTATAGGTACAGTATCGTACCATGAGAATAAGTGTTGCCTGAGTATTTTTTGTTTGTTGATAATAGGTAAGTAGATATACCTACATACGCGGACCGTTAATTTCCACTACCGCATTTTATCTCACTAACCTGTTGCTGGAGCCCGTTTATTCAATGTCACATGCAAAACAATATGTTGTTTCCTAAAAGACCAAAAAACCAGACTCATTAATTAAGTAAGTGAGTGTTAATTAATTAATTAATAGTAAGTGATCAGTAAGTACTTTCAAGGTTTGAATTAATCTAACTACTTGCTATACTTTCGGTAATTTAAATCCTATTTTTGGTTTAATTTTTACTAATTCGAAATGTGTGTTGTGCTGTTGACATCAAAATAGTACTTTTTAGTTTTGAATGAGCACAAGATTTTTGATGCCCTTGGTGATTTGCTGTCGCAAAAATATCGCTGCTTATTACATAACAACAATAAAGCAATAATACTGTATTATTGCTGTGGAACAAATGAAAATATAGGTTAATTGTTTTGGCATTAATGCAGCTATAGCGATAATTCAGGTCAAATGTTTGTTTAAGTCAGTCATTTTATAAAATGCATAATAAATAATCTTAATGAATATACTAGCTGAAAAATAAAAAAGAGTAGAATGTTATACAACAGGTAAAAATTATCATTACTGGAAATTGGTGATAGTTGTAGAATATTTAGGTTTTAATTTTTAAATACAGACTTACTAATAATTTGTGTCTGTCAGCCCGTTTCATTAAGATCTTGAAAATTACAAAAAAAAAAAAAATAACAGATTCTATTTTACAGTCTAGAACATACCGGCTTATTTAAAATTTTCAATTTAGAGCAAGTGGTGTTTATTATTTTCCTTCATGCCCGGTCACATTAATTACAATGGGTGTTATTATTATAGCTTTTAATTTTTGAATGGGAAAAGTAAGAATCAATCAGTTTCAATATGTATAATTTATTAGTGTTAAATTATCGTATTAGCGAAAAAAGTACAGTTACATAAATATGTAAATGTATTTAATTTGTCTAAATTATTGTGTTGACAAATAATGATTCTGCTGCAGATCGATAGACAGAGAAAAACAAATTAAAAAGAGAAAATGGAATTATTTCTTACACTCAATCAGTTCGTTGCTTTTTTATGACAACAATTTTTCTAATATTTCTAGTTTCTCCGGTAGGAAGAGAATATGTGTTGTTTCATGACGACAAACGTATACTGTTTAAATCTGGAGTACGTTTATTAATAAATTATTCATTAAGGCAAATTTGTTATCTCAAAAAATATTGCCGACATAGATAATCAGTAACCTAATTTTTCATACGTGACACTATAATTATGAAAACATCGTTTTTTTTTTTTGTATTTTTGACAGCTGCATTACGTAATGCTTATCACAAGGTTTTTTAGAGAAATTATATAACCATATATTGTGTGGAAAGTAATTTTCAAACTTGTATTCAGCTACTTATTAGTACTTTCCAAGTGTAAGCTTGTTTTTCGCCGTTTCAGTACACCTATAGTACTGACAAAAATTAATATACTCCTGTACTTGTGCTCTATGAATCCATCTTATTTTTATTAATTGTTATTACAATTTTTATTGGTCACATAAATATGCAGCTACGCAAGCCTAACTCATAGACCCGAGGTCCAATTTTTTTTATCATTACTATAATACTGCACGTGTCGGAATTGACATACGTGCTCTTGCTGAAATGCTGATCGGAACATTTTCCAATTTGAAAATTCGCTGCAAACATAGGCATAGCCTTACACTTCATCAACACATTCATATTTTTGGAACAATTATTTGGCCATTCACCCGATTTCCCCTAAACTGTTATTAGGGTTATTTAGTAACGGGTCCTCGTTGGTGCTCCGACATGGTGTCGCGCCAGCCGAAATTCCAGCCGTCTGAGGGTTGATTATCTTCGGTTAATATAAACTTTCGATAAGGTGCAAGGGAAGCAGTGAAGGTGCAGTCTGTTATTTCTTCTCGAAGAATAAAGGCTATTTTGAGTTTGCTCTCTTGTTTCCACTTTCCTGTGTCATTTTGGGAATTTGATATTTTTCGTTATTACATATTGGTATTATCACAAGTGAGAAACCATTGATGGAGAAGTGCTAACTGATACTCCGCGCCAGACCAAATATAAACAAGACAATAGAATATATTCCCGTAACATAATACGTCTAATCAAAGGCAATGGCGGAATGAGGGTGATTAAAGTGACATACGCTTTATTGTTGATGTAGAGTAAAACTTAGATTTATTAGCAGTTTCATCGACAATTATTGTTTTAACTGTAGGCGTGTCATTTCTTTCAATCGAGAATGTCGATAGTACTCTAAACAATAAATAATCCATTATTTTGTTACTGTGGCAAATCTAGAATGCTAGATAACTTTTATTTAAAGTAACACACATAATTACTAGAATTTTTACTTTCAAATTCTTTTCAATCAAATTTTATTATTATTCGAAGAAATAACCTTAACAAATTTTTTTTGAACTATTAATACAGGATGTCTCGAAAAGTGAATGAATAAAGCAGTTGATGTAACTGATGACACCAAAACAACTTATCTATATTTCTCTAGATTCTTGGAACAAATTATTGCGGTTATTTGTGTTACTACTTTATGAATGAAAATTAATATCTTTGGTAATATGATTTTGGTTTTTATTTAAAAATCGACCCAACTAAATTTTCCTGAAATTCGTTAAACAGTGTAATTTTACAATAATGTTGCATTATACACATATTAGAATAGAAATGGTTGTCCTTCACGGCACAGGGAAATTCTGTTTAAATAACTTTTACCAATTTTAATAATTCTCAAAAATCATTCAAACAACTGGAGTTAATTTATCCAAACTGTAAGGTCTTTCTATTTTTTAGCATTGTGTGTTTTAAATGAGAAAAATTTACATTATGCCAGTGTAACTCCTACATACAAATAAAAGTTTAAGTGCAATATTGTAATAAAATACGATACTACGTACCATACCTCTTACCAGTCGATCAGCATTCAGCTTTAACCCTGACATACACAACCGCATTATGTCTGCAACAATTTCTTTTGTAACATCCAAATTTGATTTGAAACACCTTGTTAACGTTTTGAAACGTACTATGCGATTTATTTGACTTGATTATATTGTTTAAACACCATGTTTAATCTGTTGACTATCATAATTTTAAGTATTTTAAGTATGTTTCTACTTTGTTTATTCTTCTTACTTAGTTAAATATAATTTATAACAGTTAAAAAAATTAAAGAGTATTGTAATCCATTTACTCACTAACAGACAAGCTACTATAAAATCAAAATTAGTACAGCCAGTACTAATGTAACAATAGAACAAAATTACTATTTAGCTGTCAACAATTTTCAACAAATATTTATATAAGAGTTCTATATGTGATTTACTTTGATTCTGTTGTGGCTGAAAATTATATGCCATTAATACAAAAAAAAACTTAACTACAGTTGTCCTTTGACCAAATTAAGCATACCTAAAGTTTAAACCAGTCCTCTGCATCAGAACTGTGATTTTGCGAATAATTAATTATCACGCTCTGAATTAGTGAAATGTCAGTTTATGAAAGTAAACGAGGATTAGGTATAAAATTTCAGAAATGTTCACTCATATATCAAAATAATGTTAAAACTTGAAATTTAGTTACAAAACAATTTTGTTTCTTTTTGAAAGAGGAGTCGATTTCGAAGCTGAATTTTGTTTTTGTAATATGCTTTTAAATAAATCTGTTTTTAATACATGAGTCATGGCAGATCTATATCAGGTTATATGGTAATTTTATTGTTTTAAAAAAGCAGCTGCTAAATAGCGCATATCTTAGAAGAATCCAGAAAAAGACAACTTTTTATAAATCCGAAACCACAACAAGTGAAATACGATTTACATATCAAAGAAAGATTAAATATAAATTTCTTTATACTTTTCTGATCCCAGTTTTGCATATTTGCACCCCGTTCTTGGCTTTTTTAATTAAATAAACGTTCGTTGGAAAAATAATGTCTAATTGAAAGCGCTTTTGTAATTTACAACGTAAACACGATTGTTACTCATTTCGTTGAAAAGTTAAAAAGTGCCTTACCAATTAGTATTATTTAT